GCAGGAATGAGCTAACGTTTAACCAGCCGTGTTACAGCCACTGTTCGGAAAAAATTTAATTAAAAGTAATTTAGTGGGTGCGGCTTATAGTCTGGAAATTACGGTATATGAACAAAATTAATTTATTTCTAATAAATTGTCAACCATAAAATACCATAATAAAGAGAGGCCTTCTATAGCAGTAGGATAATAAAAGAACAGCGTTCTGACAGAAAAGGGGGAGGGGGTGTAACGCTTGTATTCTGTAAGACAGTGGTCTGTAATTACGACAAATAATGACGTTGTGTTTTCTGACGCATCAATCATCTCACAGTGAAAGCTTTTGATCCAGTGAACTCACCCTGGTGTGAGGTCCAAACTCCTGTATGAGCTTCTTCCAAGGATTCTCGTACTCCACGAACATCTGCCCCAGTCGCGGGTAGGAAGGGTCACTGTGTGTGTGACGTTATGACATACATGTGATAAGGGCAAAAACAAAGAGGAATGAAGGGGGATGTTTATATATACACATGTAAATATATATATATATCATTTACCTGTACAAACCACTGTATGAGTATGAAATTAATTAAATGAGCTGCAACGCTGCCATCTAGTGACCTTCGCTTTAATATAGATCCGTTTGTCTCCAAAACTCTTTTTAGGGCACACATCATATGGCAAAACCCAGGCATTGCGTTATCGAGTTTTGAGCGATTTTTACAGACACTAAACAGTATGCCGATAATATTGAGGGGGGTGAATAATTATGCAAAGAATCATTTTTTTCTTTATATAATTTTGTTTCATTAACATTACTTTATAGAACTCTGTTTTCACTTTAACATTAAAGAGTTTTTCCAGAAGATTTTTTGTGTGGGAAAAAATGAATACTTATGCTAAGGACTGTCTATATATATATATATATTCCCAGGGAAAGAATTCATTGTTTGTGCCAAGCCAATAAATATTACATTAAAATGCATGTTTGCTTCCTGCTCTGTCCTGAGGTTCTTCTTTCTGGGAGTGTGTAAATTGATATGCAAAATGCACTGACTTGGAATGAGAGAAACTACAGTATATTTGTACACAGAAGAAACAACGTGTTGGATTGTGGGTCTTCGTGCGCTACGAAGTGACAAGGATTTTTGAACGTCGGCATCAAAATGAAAATCACAGCTTCTTTTGTGACCCATCATGAAGAGCTGCTGATGAAAAAGGACTCGTCGAACTGACTGGTCGTCTCACCTGCAGCCGTTGGACATCTCGTGAGCACAGTTGTACATCCCCACCAGGGTCTTCTTGTCATCGATGCGACACAGCGTCAGGATGAGTGCACAGTAGGTGGTGATCAGGTCCAAGTAGTTCTTGGTGAAATCAAAGTTGATGGACTGAAGTGACAGATGGAAACTTCTTTGTGATTACTCTGTATCACTACTGTATAGTACATGAGGAAGTGGTAACATGAGTCAGTAAGAGTAACATTCTTCATCTGTTCTAATTATAGTACAATATAATGCACTAATATACCATATCAAAATCCTTGTACAGTATGTGCAAATGTACTTGGTAATAAAAACAGATTTTGATTCTGGTTCGGATTCCACCTGAAAACAGTGTGAAACAGACCAAATATATATATATATATATAAATAAAACTTTTATGGTTGGGAGTAAATTGAATAAATTTGAACTTTGAATACATTTTGACAGAGCAGCTCCCTCTGCTGCATTGAATCTGAAGTGTTTGATTTTGGATGAATGAATGGAAGTTTATTTGAACACAGAATGGAAGAAGAAAATAATAACAAAAAACAACAAAAAACAACAATTAGAGAACACAAACACAAAAAAAAAATCACGACATATGTAAACCACTATAAATATATATATATATATATTGGCAAATATATTTGTGTATATATATAGGCATACTGACATAGACTTATGTATATACAGTATACAATACCTATATAAGCCATGTAAGGAAATTGTGGACAACCTATAAATACGTTATAAATTATTAAATTAAATTAATAATAAATTATAAAATAAAATAATAATACATTTAATTAATGATTATGAAATACATTACTAAACACGCTGACACTAGCTTAGTGAATATTCGATAACTTACGATATCAAAGAAGCACTGAGAGGCATCGATGGTGTTCAGCAACTCGTACACATGATCCTGAGGATGAAGAGCAGAAAAAAAAAAAAAAAAAAACCTTGATCACAACAAAGGAGTCTTTAAGTCAGGATGAGTGAATAAACATAATTTTACACACATGTTAATTTTCACACATGTCTCTGTAATGCTATGTCCCACATCTACTTCACTGTAATGTATTCCTATTGACTTAAGATTGGATGATGCTGTGACCTTGAAGTGACATTCATTCACTAACATATACTCACATAGAGGGTTACTGAGGGGTGTGTTTTGAATAAAATATATTATTTCTCCATATCTAACACGACCACTCTATATGCAAATGTATTCTGGAAAAGAGATAGGTTAAAAAGACAGTTTCCTGCACCAACGCCACTGAATTTATTTGAGAATCTATTTATGCTGATACTGTGTGTTGGAGTTAAACTAAAAAACATTGAAATGAACGGCGATGAAAAATATAAAGAGAAGAATTACCCTGAACTCAATGACATCCAGAAACGACTCGTAGTAGCTCGACATGGTCGACATCACCTCGGACTTCTGCCTCTGGATGTTGATCAGATTTTGCTGGAATAAAGAGGGAAGCATATTTGAAAATATTTTATTATCTGAATTGTTAACTCTGGTTTTCCCTTAAACCTCCCTAAAATATACAGGAAAATATTATTTTATATTTATGATATGTAGCAATACATACATACATATTGACATATATATAAATATATATATACATAATACTGTATACATATATAGATATACATTCATACTGTATGCCTATATATTCAAACAAATATATATAAATATATATATAAACCTATATATTCAAACAAACCAATATATATGTCAAAGTGAACTACTTGTCATTGTGACACAAAAAAAACAACAAAAATCAAACAAAGTTTGTCATGTTGGTTCTGATGAGGAAATCAGCTGGAAGAGAAAGCCTGCTGCACTTACAATATTCCCTCTGAAGTCGATGTTTGGGAATTTCTTGTTGATGTACTTTATGGCAGACTCCATTGCTTTGTCCGTCAGCAGCGACAGCCGCTGCTTCGGGTCGGCACAGCTCTGTCAGAAATGGCACAGACGTGACGGGTTATCACAACGACAACGCTTCGGCCTAGCTTGGAGAAAAGTCAGAGTCATGAATAACAGTCAGGGTGACACGAGCAGCTTGTTATTGCAGAGTGTGGACGATACAGAGGAATATATATGAGAAACGTATACAGAAGGAATCATTTAAAACACAAGGGTTTCCTTCATTTCTTGGTCAGATTTGTCACGTTCATTTCCATTTTGATCCATGCTTTTGCAGAGAAAGACACATTTCTGATATCACTGCATGTGTACCAAAAATTCATTTTGTACTTTTGTACTAATAGTACTCATCTAACCGAGTATTTTCTTGCATTTGCTTCCCATCACGACACTCGTGGTATGGAAACTCTCTCTCTCTGTCTCTCTGTTTGTGTGTGTGTTGTGGCAAGTTTCGCTGCATACATTTTGAACTTTTTTGACAGCCAGACTAACTTCCTGTGTGCACTTCCTCTTTACTCCTTGTTACAGTTGGAGGAAGACACCGCTCCTGTTACTGTTGTGCAGGCTCTGAAACAAAAACCTGCAGGAAACATTGAACCGCTGTGACGGTCGTCGTACATACGCCTGTAGCTGCAGTCAAGCGGGGAGTTTTATTCCTCTAGAAAACAGCGTTAATATTCCCAGTCACTGACGTTGACATTTGAATTCCTGTAGGTCTAAGAGGCAGGTTTTTTTTGCACATATTCATGAGTTTGACTCACTTTGAATAACAATTTGTTTCCTGTTACTTTTCTACTGCTCAATTGTTTGTTCAAATCAAATTAACTGTAGCAAAAGTGTTTTTTTTTTCTTAAATAAAAAAATAATTATCTATAGTAACAAAGAGAATTAAATTGGACTACTAAATAATGCATATGCTCAAGAAAAAAATGAATTGGTAAACGGGTGTGTTTAAATTAGTCCTAGTGAGCAGGAAGACACTGAAGGCATACGAGACAGAATTCTAGTTCCTTATTTCTCCTCTCCGTGACGCATCATTGGTCGAAGAAATCTTTGTCTCCCTCACCTTTTTAATGTAGTTCATACGTATCAGAACCCCATTCCCTCTTTCATTGAGGATGATTAGTTTTTCGGCCAGTTTCTGTTGGTAGGCCATGGCTTCAGATTCACCTCGACCCTTTCTTAATTTACGCCTCGGCCTCCTCGACTTCTCTGGTGTTTGAACCCCTGGAGACAAATGTAGCCGGAGCCTCACCCTCTCACTGGGTCACATGAGGCCTATGGGTGTGGGAGGAGCCACCAACTGAGAGGAAGATGACAGTCAGAAAGAAATTCCTCACGTACAAGATGTACTATTGAAGGCTGTGTAAAGAAGTACTTCACATATTGGATACATAAATTAAGAACAAAAATACTAAGGTGTTTAGAAGTATCATTTATAAATACATTTATTTGTCATATCCAGAATATCAAACTCCTTGTTATAGAACCACATCCCCTAATTTAACCGAGCAAATCTAAAAATGATGATAAATTAACATTTGCAATTTAACTGTAGTTCTGAATGAATGGTAAATCTTTGATATCGACAGTTTAAGCCACTTCCTCCTGCTGTGAATCTATTCCAGTCATAGTGACATTTGATGGAGGAATACTAGTGATAGTTATTTCGTTTCTTTTCTTTTCTTTGAAAGGGGTTAAAATGAAATGCTGTGCTCTATTCTACCACAAGATGGAAGTAAAAACCTACCAAAGTTCTCTGTTGACGTGAACGAGGACGGGACCGAATGCACAGCACTGACGACATTTAAACTTTCACCCGTTAAGTCAATTAAATGTACAGCCTATTAAAAAGAGCACAATTAACAGCAACAAATAAATACATAAAAAACAAAACCTACCTTCGACCGACGATAACTTCTTTGTAACTTGCACTGCATGGTTTCCTTATTCGTACAATGACATTATTTATAACATTTACCGTCTGAGCTTTTACACTTACGCGATACACGTATACACTGTGAACGCAACGTACACGGTGTAGTTAAAAATCCCTCGTCTCACCGTTGCTTCTTATCGGTTAAAAAGCATTAACGTTTAAATGAAACAAAAATATCTACATAAAAACATTTCGGAAGTTTGTGTTTTCCTCTTTAACCAGTATTAATTACATATGACACAACAGTACTTAAATCACGTGCATTGAAACTAACACTTAAAAATTGACTACTGCTCAACAGAGGCCACGTGTGGCAGTCAGTGGTATAACCAGAAAAGGAGAACACATTGAATCAATTTTTTTTTTCTCCTCAACTTTTACGACTCATTTGCTTTAAAGACACCCAAACCCATTAACTTCTTGTTTTTAGTTCACCATTAAACAATTACAGTTGATCTGTTATAGCCTCACTTGTCGTGTAAACGGCTCAAATTGTTAATCTTCTACAAATGACTGAGTGAGTAAGAGTGACCGTTGTGGCTTTTATGTAAGCCCCAACAGTATTTTTTTTTAATGATCTAGATTGTAAAGTAAATGATTAGTATTCAGGAAGCAGTCAATTGTTTTAATATTATGGTAAGTGAGTTTACTGAGATTATTTGGAATTTGCTTTAAAAACCTGAAGATGAAAAGGGTAAAAGGACAAAAGGCAGTTTTCATAAATTAGATAGATGGATGGATGGATGGATAGATAGATAGATAGATGGATAGATGGATAGATGGATGGATAGATGGATGGATGGATGGATAGATGGATAGATGGATAGATGGATGGATAGATGGATGGATGGATAGATGGATGGATAGATAGATCATTGGATGGATCATTTCCTTACTGGCAGGATCTCGTAAGACAGCTGACATGTTAGCACTGTCTGAGAAAGTAGACAGGAGGTCAGGTCCATTTCATTTCTCAACAAGTAAGTTATGGATTATTTGGCCCAAGGCTGTGGCATCCAGTGTTCAATTACACACAGAAAACGTTAACCACCCCTCCTCCCCCCCAAAGACTTAAGAGACACAGCATTCTTCCTCGACATGTCAGGACACAGTACAGAGACAGAAAGGAAAGACGCAAAGTATCATATACAGACGTGATTAAAGAAATTCTGCCACTCACAGTGTGCAGTTGAGTTCAGTTAAATAACACACAGATTTCTTTTGAACGCTATTTGTTTTTACATTAGTTCCATTGTATCCCTCAGACTTGATTCATCACCATATAAACTGTTAGCTTTAATACTTTTGATGGTTTGTTAAAGTCGAAGGAACGCAAAATACTTTGTACATAATAAACCGGGGGTCACCAACCTTTTAGAAACAGACAGCTTCTTCAAGGATACTTAGTGATACGAAGAGCTACTTGTTTGATACAGACTTCACAAACAATGAAATAATAACATACAATAGCAGACACTCTTCCTACCATCATCATTGTAACCATTTGAATATCATTACATGTGTAACTGATTCCAAAAGCACAGTAACAGTACATTTTTTGACCATCTTGTTGATTAGTTTTATTTTTAGCAAAACATTTGTGGAGAAAAGGTAGAGGGAAGTCACAGATTCTTAGTGTAAAAATCTTGAGAAAAATTTCAAATGACATTAAATTTATACTGTGAAAACTTAGGCTGTGCACCTTAAATAGAAGCTGAATGTCAACATTGATAAACATTTTTCTGAAAAACTGGGTTTTTGTTACGTACAGGGTGAAGGCAGTGACAGGAATATCTCAAAGCAGCATTAAGGACACAGGAATTATGTGCAGTGACTCATCAAAGATGTCCCAAAAACACAGAACAGGCAACAAAATGAACAAAAACTGAGCAGCACAGACCAGGCAGGAAAAGATTTAACAGAAGAGAAAGCAGACAACAGACCTGGCGTTCTTCAACACAGCTGAAAATAAGACCAAAACAATGACCAAACCAAGGCCGACTGAGGGAGAGAGGGATATAAACCCAACAGGTGAGTCTGATGACTCTAACCAGCCTAGGAGAGACTAGTAGATGGCAGAGAGATGGATATGACATCTTCAAAGTAGTCATACTCCTAAGTATTAAAATGATTTAATAGAGTAAATAATACCCTTCATGTTTTTCTCTACATTTTTTTTTGTATTTTTTTTACTACAAAAAAATCCAAAAACTACTATCATTCCAAGTTAAAGAAAAGAAAAAAATTCAGTCAGAAACATTTAGACTTAACCAGCTGCTTCAAGCTAAATGACACCTCTGTTTTATAGTAAATGTGTTCATTTGGTGTCATGTCCAGGTTAAATGTATATATATATATATATTATGTCTATATTATGTCTAATAACTCTTCAAAGAGTGAAAGAGTGAGAAAAAGCGAGTGAGAAGAGAGGGAGTGATAAAAATCAGGACAGAAGAAGACAGAGGCAAGACGGCGTGGATGTAGACAGTAATCTCCTAACCAGACACAGTACTATCCGTTTGTTTCATAGGCGTCATGGAAAAAATGGCCTGCTCAAAGACAGAAGAAGAGTTATGAGAGAAAGCTTTAGGAAAAATGCATCCCTTTATAGAGAAAATTCAGTCTGACATTTGAATCAATAAATAAGAAGTGATGGAAAGGATGTTGAGGACGATGAAGGGCTTAATGATAATGTTGAGGATGATGAAGGGCTTAATGATAATGTTGAGGACGATGAAGGGTTTAATGATAATGTTGAGAATGATGAAGGGCTTAACGATAAGGTTGAGGATGATGAAGGGTTTAATGATAATGTTGAGGACGATGAAGGGTTTAATGATAATGTTGAGGATGATGAAGGGTTTAATGATAAT